AAATGTAAATTTAAAATTCAGTTTCTCATATAATGGCTACTATTCTGGAATGTGGAGATGGATAATTCTAGCATCATGAAAAGTTCTACTGGATAGTGTAGGCTAGATCTAAGTTTCACGCTCAGTTATCTTCTAATGCTGTATAGCATTAGAAGAGAACCATTTATGAAGCATTACAAATGCTTCATAAATGGTGCTTTAACAAATTCCTTTTGTAGGCAAATTTATATTTCTTCTATTAGAGGTAGCATAGGCCAACAACGAAAATGACCATTTATATTTGTTCAACTTTTCTTAGACCATATTTCTATTGTTTTTTTTTATATATTCAACACAACTTGTCATTAACTATAATTAAAAAGCTATGATAATTGAGGCATGAAGTAGAATCAGGGTCCAGGAAGAATTGTGATTTTTTAGATGTTATAGTGTATGTCACTTAAGAAAAGTTTTGATTTCCCAAGGGAAATTGCCATTTTAACCAGTGTTGAATCTCTTAGGTTGGTTCATTTAGACATATAACATTGTTGTGTGTTTTCTTATGATACTTACAAGTGTACATGTAAATTGTTATATACCTGAGTCATGATGCTCATTCTGAGAGGAATACATGTGTTTCTGTATGTTTAGTCTTATCACACTCCCTTATGTGTATATATTTTTCACATATACCTGGATTTTGTTCTTTTAGAATCTATAGCTAAAGCTAAAAGATGACAAATATATTATTATTTACTTAATTAATTTATGTTTCTAAATTTATGTAGGCAGTGCTCAGAATGTGACCAGGCTGGGAGCAGTGACATGGAAGCAGACATGGCCATGGAAACTTTACCGGATGGGACCAAACGATCAAGGAGGCAGATTAAGGAACCAGTGAAATTTGTTCCACAGGATGTGCCACCAGAACCCAAGAAGATTCCAATAAGAAATACGGTAATTTATTACTTATTTAATCATAATCATAATATGTTAAAGCTGAAAGTTAAGAGGCAAAGAAAAGACAAAGTATAAGTATATTCTTGAGGGGTCAAAGAAAGATTATCACTTGGTTATTTTTAAGAATTTGTTTTCTGTGTTATGAAATATGCCATATTTGCTTGAGACTTTGTAGTTAATGTGCTCAGTTGAAAGTATAATAATAAGGAATTATATCCACCACTCAGCTTCAAAGAGAATAATATCAAAACTTTGAATGTCCCCTGTAAATCTTTGGCAATCTCATCCCCTACTATCTAGCCCAGAGGTCACCTCTTCCTCTAACTTCATATTTCTCATTCTCTAATTTTTTAAAATATATTTCAAACCTATTTACTCACAATAATACATATTGTTTAGTCTTTCAGGTTTTAAATTTTGTGTTATTGGAGTCAAACTTCTTCTGTAGTTTGATATTTTTTCCAACATGTCAATTTAATTCATAAATACTGATCCATATAGTTGTAGTTTACTTCACTAATATATAGTTATTCTATTGAACAGCTATTCTAATGTATATCTATTCTAATGAATAGACTATTATTGAGTTTTTCCTTTGTCATGTTTCCATGCTTTTCTATTATTAATGGTTTGGTATAAATATTTTTGTTAATGTTTCTTGCAGAATGGTAACGGAGTTAGGGTATGTACTAAAGTGTAGATTCGCTGAATTATAGACTATCTGTATCTTTAATTTTGGTAGATAATGACATGTTTTCCACACCAGTTTACACATAGCAGCGATGGCTAATGTTTTTTTTTTGGTTTGTAAACTTGTTCAATGTTTTAATGTTTTCCAAAGTAAAGAATGGGGAAAAAAAGTATATTGTCATTTAAATTACATTTTTCTAAATACCAGTAATTCTGAGCATCTATTATAGGTATATAAGTTGTATTTCCTCTTCTGAGAAATCTGTAGGCAAGTCTTTTGGCTTTTTTTTTTTTTCTTCTGAGGCTAAGATTTAAAGAATTTCCTGTAGAAAGTTTGTTTCTATTTCCAGGCTTCTTTACCAACCTGAGACAAAGTAAAAGATTGATGTGTGTGGGTATTTTCCATTTCATCTGTAGAAAAAAAATTTCTGCTCCAAATTCATTAGGGTTGGCTTGCAATTACAAGTTGTTATGGGAGACTTTTTTTTAATTTTTAATTTTTTTCGTACTGGGGATTGAACTGAGGGGCACTAGACTACTAAGCCACATCCCCAGCCCTATTTTGTATTTTTTTAGATACAGGGTCTCACTGAGTTGCTTAGTGCCTCGCTTTTGCTGAGGCTGGCTTTGAATTCACAGTCCTCCTGCCTTAGTCTCCCGAGCGGCTGGGATTACAGGCATGTAACACCACGCCAGGCTGGGAGACTTTTTAAAGATTTTTTTTAATTTATTCTTTTAGTTATATATGACAGTAGAATGTATTTGTTCTTTTTAATTATATATGACAGTAGAATGACATAATACAAGGAAGTATAACTTCCCATTCTTACGGTTGTACATGACGTGGAACTACACTAGTTGTGTATTTATATATGAACATAGGAAAGTAATGTCCAATTCATTCTATGATCTTTCCTAATCTCAAACTCTCTCCCTTCCCTTCATTTCTCTTTGTTTAGTCCAGAATACTTCTGTTCTTACCTACTCCTTCCCCTCATCAGGTGCTAGCATCTGCATATCAAAGAACATTTAGCCTTTGGTTTTTTGGGATTGTCTTATTTCACTTAGCATGATAGTCTTAAGTTCCAATCATTTACTGGCAAATCCACTGTGTATATATACCACATTTTCTTTATCCATTCCTCTGTTGAAGGGCACTAAGGTTGGTTCCATAGTTTAGTTATTGTGAATTGAGCTGCTGTAATAAACATTGATGTGGCCATGTCACTGTAGTATGCTGATTTAAGTCCTTTGAGTATATGCCCAGGAGTGGGATAACTGGGTCAAATGGTGGTTCCATTCCAAATTTTCTGAGTAATCTCCATAATGCTTTCTAGAGTGGTTGTACTAATTTGCAGTCCCACCAGCAATATATGAGTGTACCTTTTCCCTCACATCCTCACCAACATTTATTTTTAATTGTATTCTCGATAATTGGAGTGAGATGAACTCTTGGTATAGTTTTGATTTGCATTTCTGCTAGAAGATGTTTAACTTTTTTTCATATATTTTCATATATGTTTAACTTTTTTTCATATATTTGTTGATTGTATTTCTTCTGTGAAGTGTCTGAGTGGATTATTTGTTTTTTTTGGTGTCAAGTTTTTTGAGTTCTTTATATATCCTGGAGATTAATGCTCTATCTGAGGTGCCTGTGGCAAAGACTTTTTCCAATTCTGTAAACTCTCTCTTACGTAATTGTTTCCTTTGCTGTGAAGAAGCTTTTTAATTTTGATTCCGTCCTATTTGTTGATTCTTGATTTTACTTCTTACACTTTAGGAGTCTTGTTAAGAAAGTCAGTTCCTAAGATCTTTTAAGGGATAACAATATAGAGATTATTATGGATTTCTGAAAGGAACTTTTAAGAAAACTTAATTTTAATTTAAAGGAGAAAAATAAAGGCACTCTAAATTAACAGTTAACAAAACAAACAATGATAACTAATCCTAAAAATATTTTTATATTTCCCTGAAGAAGAGGCAGACATTGAAAATAAAAAATGTCTCTCATGCAAAGTTAAACAAACGGAAATCAGTAAACATAATTCATCACATCAATAGACAATAATAACATGACTATTTAAAGAGATGCACAAAAAGTATTTGACAAAATACAGTGTTCATTCATGCTCAAACATTAGAAAAACTAGGCATACTAGGAACTACCTCAACATTTTAAAAGGTATATATGTTAAACCCAAGACCAACATCATTCTAAGATATTGGTAAAAATAACATCAAAGACAAGATGCCAGAGCCATTTAATTTTACGATATGTAACGTGGATTTTTCTTATTTATGAGAATTCAAATACATATTGAATCTCCAAAAAAAATCTCCACTATTTAGAAACTTGATTACTTTTGTTTACTTCCTTTTCCTTAACTTGTTTAATGAAAGGGATTTTATTTCAAGTAAAAAATATAAAATGATTAGGGATGCTTTAGATTGAAGTCCCATTTTTATTGATAACCTGTGAAATTTGGTACACTGGCATATAATGAGCACTCAAGAAATTTTAGGTGCTGAATACTATAGTTAAATCATTTTGTGTAAAAGTAAATGAATACCCTCCCCATCCTGCCCCTTCTATTACTTTCTTACGTTTTGTACTTTTTGTCTTTATGTTTAAAAATAACATCAAATTAGGAAGGAAGTCAAAGGGTAAAGGAAGAAATTCACATGCTAAAATATTTACATTAAGTTCTGGTGTGTTTCTACTACTACTACTACTACCAAATGCAGCCATTTTATTTTGTATTTCTTGCTAATGCTTGGATTTTGACTTCATTACATTTTCCAAAGGTAGTTAAGTCAGAAAAGGATGGGGCAGGATGGGGAGGGTATTTGTTTCCTTTTACATAAACTGGTTTAATAATAGGATTTAGCAACCTGAAATTTATTAAGGGCTCATTATATACCAGTGTACCAAATTTCACAGGTTACTTCCCTTAAGATGGATTTAATTATTATAGCTCCCATTTTACATATAATGAAACTGAAGTAACTTACCTGTGATCTTCCAGAGAATAAACAGCACAAAAGGAATCAAACCCAGATAGCTTTAATTAACTCTCATCTTTTTTGAGATCTGTAGATGAACATTTGTTGAGGCATGAATGCAGTTTTGTCAAACATTTGGTTACTAAGTAGCTTTCTTAATAGGTATGGTTTTTCTCTTATGGTACTCTAATCTGATACCAGAACATTACTGTTTCTTTCCTTAGTACAGGATTATTGGTAAGAAGCTGGGCACATATATACTTAATAACTTGTGTAACTGAGTTCATTCTCATTAAATATTAGATTCAATATAACTTTTCTTTTTATTTTCAGTTTTAGTAATATTCCTTGTCAAGTTATGCAGGAACATTGCCATCACTGTCATTCACAGTGAAGCAGTGTTAAAGTTAATAAAATCTTTTGATGGCTATTCTGCCTTGTGGAAGTTGATGTTAAAAAAGAAAAGAAAAAAATTAGGAGCAATATATCAGCAAGCTCATTGTTGGCATATGTATGTAAGAACTACTAGTATATATTTGTTTTAATATTCTTGTGTTATAATTTGCTTCTTTACCTCCAAAATGGATACTATGAAACCTGCTCTGGGGAAAATGTGTAATTTTGAATTGAGAGTGAAAATGGAGCAGCATGTAGTGATTTTCTTATCCATTTTTTTCTTAAATCTAGTCACTCCAAATATACTCAAGCATTTGCCTTATTGCATTTAAGCCTTTTTGATTAAGCAACAAGGATCTTTTCGATCCCTTCACTTGATCAGATCAATGTTAAAGGAGAGAGGCCCATAACTATTTTCCTTCTGTAATGCCTGATTTGTGCCAAAGTTGCCGTTAGAAGAATGGCATCTACTTTTTTCTGCTGACAGGCAGTTTTCCATTTATCATGTCCAAAGAGTTCAACAGGGAATAGAACACTTCAGCAAGGTACACTATTGTATTGTTTGGATACTGAGAAAAGTCATTTTTCATTTCATTCTACTCTGGTTTCCTTAATAAAGATTTATAGAAATCTGAAAGAATGTAGCATATTTGAGACAGTAGTTTCAATAAGATGTAGATGGTTTTCAAGGTGAGCAGGCCCAGTATTACTTTTTATCCTGCATTTTTTCCTATCCAAAGATACTAAAAAGATTAGCCAGAAAAGTTACTTGAAAAAAAATGTGGCACTAAAGATTTAGTATTAAAAATAATGATTTAAAAGAACTGTTGCAAGTCTAAAAATGAAATGTTGTATTTTCAGAAAGTACCCTTTCAGTGCAAACATAGGAGCTGTCTCTGTTTCTTATT